TAAATTTTGGGTTCCTGTAGGTAGATGTACAGAATGTTGCAGAATTTTAGGGAATAATTTCCTTGCTTCTAAAATAAGAATAATCCTCCCTGCCACCCCACCCCCACATGGGCCAGATTGAGATTTAACCCTAGCTTCATGTCTGCAAACTATTGAGAATCACCAAGTAAACCTTGGTGAAAGCAAATGTCATTTTATGAGGCATTTTATTCCTGTGAGTTCTCTGCATGGTGTTGAGGTGAAGGAGTTGACTACTCTTGGATGATGGAGAGTGAATCAATTCTACATGGTTCAGCAGATTAGGAAGATCTAAGCACACCCATAATACATCTTGATTTCAGCAGTCAGATTCCCATTTGTTCTCTTTTTAGGGTCTTGAATCTAAATTTCATGGATTTTTCTAGAGCTGTGTAATAAAACCTTTTCAGCAATTCTACTACTGACACAATGAGGCCTGGTTTCCAGCCTGTACTGCCCTCTGGCTGTAGTACACACAGGTGTTATAAAGATTTTCTTAATTTCACATGTGTCTCGGGTTGATGGTTGGCTGACTTGGGTCCACCAAAAAAACCCACAAATGGTACTTAAGAGCAACTATTCATCTCCACAGGTTTTATGATAACCACTGCCATAAAAATATGGCATATAATATAAATTCACTATACTGTCCTCTGTCTTCCTCCTGTCCCAATTCACCACAGATGAAATTCTTTGTAATAGTGACCCTGCAGCAGGCCAAGGATTATCACAACCCACTTCCCATTAATAATGCAGCCTTTGTTGCTCTATGGTCAACGAGTGGTTCAGCCCAGAAATTCATCTCAGGGTAAGCATTCTGGACCACTTCTAATATAAATTAGTTTAGTTTGGTTGTTCTCAAAAGTCTACCCTTAAACAAGGATTCAGTTTGTGGTAGAATGTGTGTTAGTTTTTAAATTATTTATTAAGATATAGACTATGATGTGTTTCTACTTAGGTGTTTGATGGTATACATATGCTAACAATTAATTTTTAAAATATTTCAAAATCTCCCCTGATACAATGTGAACAAAATATATTCTGGATGGATCGAAGAGTAAATAGTAAAGTGAGTAAGAGACTTTAAGTGGTATCAGATTAAATAAGGGAATCATAGGCATAAAGTTACTGAAAGATTTAATGATTAATTAAATAATAAAAAATGTAGTATTAAGCTGGGTGCAGTGGTGAATGCCTATGATCCTAGTGATATGGGGAGTGAGGCAGGAGCATCACAGGTTCAAGACCAACCTGGACAACTTAGAAAGACCCCATCTCAAAATAAGAACTAGGGATATAGCACAGTAATAGATTTCTGAGTTCAATCCTCAGTATCACAAAAATCAAACAATCAATAGTCCATAAAATGAACATAATATTAATAATACTTGTTTATAATAAAAAGTTCTATAAACTATAGTACATGCATGGTGAAAAAAACTTTTTCATGCATAAAAATCATAAAAATTTAAAGTAGTGAAAAATTGGACCAGTTGGTCATAGTAGCTCACAAGTGCAAGGCCAACTCCAACAACTTACTGACACCTCATCTCAAAAGATAAATAAATAAACAAAAAGGGCTGGGAATGTGGCTCAGGGGAGAAATGCCTCTGGGTTTGATTACAGTACCAAAAAACAAAAAGAAACATGTAAATGACACACTGGGAAAATACAATGATTTTTAAATATTGTGAGTTAATATACTTTATACAAAAAGAGCAATTAAATTTGATACGAAAGTGGCTAGTCTTGAAAAAACAGACAAGCATAAGAGCAGGTAGCTCATGAAGAAACAGTAAAAATGATCCATAAAGATGAAAAGAAAATTCAACTAGGAAATTCAAATGAAAACTATAAGAAAGTTTCAGATTGAATACACAGGTGCCCCCCTGAAACATCACTTAAATGATAGAAAAAGGACACAAAAGGCAAAAATTTGCAAGACAAAGAAAATGGGTTAAAGAGAAAATAACAAATGAAAGACGTCAACAAATTTTTATAAAATCGAGACCAGGTGGCCAAGTGGTAATTGACTTGGTAAAATTGTAAAGCCAACACTTTAAAAAACTTATTTACTTATTCTAATTAGGTATATATGACAGTAGGATGCACTTTGATTTATTGTACACAAATGGAACACAACTTTTCATTTTTCTGGTTGTACATGATGTAGCATTGAACCATATGTACAGTCATATGTGTACCTAGGGTAATGATGTCCATCTCATTCCACCATCTTTCCTACCCCTATGGTTCCTCCTTTATTCTCCTTCCTCTTTTCCCAATCAAAGTTCCTCCATTACTCCCCCCCCCCCACACACACACATTATAGATCAGCATTCACTATCAGACAGAACACCTGGCCTTTGTTTTTTGGGAATTGGCTTACTTCGTTTAGCATGATATACTCCAACTCCATCCATTTACCTACAAATGACTACACTTTGCAGGGAAAGCCAAGGACAAGATCAGTTCCTGCCCTGGTACCCTGAAGGTGTTTAGCGCTGGATGCACCAGGCATATCTGAAGGTGGGGACAAGGGAACGATTGATGGAGGATAGATGGCAACCTAGTATTGTTATTGGTGTGGTTGAAAATTGGGGCATCTTTGTATTTCTAAGTCTTCTTTCTTATCTCTCTCCATTCTAAATTGAACCTCTGTTCCTGTAGAGTAATAAATGGTAATGATCCTTTCATTTACTCTCATCAAAGCTTCCAAAATATTTTCATTTATATTGCCGTTATTGGGACAATGTTTAAACTCTGTTTTACAGACAGACTCTCTACAGTATACATGCTATGCCCATTATAAGACTGCAAAAGTTACATTCTTGGTGTCACATGAATGAATATCATAGAATGCTTCTCCTCCTCCTCCTCCTCCTCCTCCTCTTCTTCTTCTTTTATGGTACTGAGGATTGAACCCAGAGGCGCTTAATAACTGAGCCACATTCCAGCCCTTTTTTATATTTCATTTAGAGACAGGGTTTCCCTAAGTTGCTGAGGCTGGATTTGAACTCACGATACACCTGCCTCAGCCTTCCAAACAGCTGGGATTAAGGTGTGCACCACTGTGCCTGGCCATAGAATAATTATTTAAGTGAAAGTTTCTAAGTAAGGATTCTGACAATCAATTCAATTTAGAAAAATAAAATGATAATTCTCCCAGATAGCTTTTATAAAGAATTTTGCAGATTTGTTATGTATGTATATTGAGCACTCTACTCTCCATGTATACGGCATAATACAACCAAACAAATTTCAGACTTGACTCTTGATAAACTTGCAGCAGCTTCCCAAGTCTGTTAGACCAAAGACTATATAAGTCAGTTTCTATCACTTTGGATGCATAGGATCTACTTTTAGTTGTTGTAGCCACATAAACATCTCGGTTCTCAGGTGAGTTTTGGTTGTCCCTCTGTCTAAAATGTTCTATACTCTCCACTTCTATTCCCCAAACTTCTCCTTGTTGTTCTGAGTTTAGCTCAAGCTTTTCTTCTTCTAGCAAGTCCTCCAAACTAGTTCAGCTTTCTTTGTCATATACTCACATTGAAGTTTATTCTTTTCCTCTGGATTTGCCTCAGTTAATGAAATATTTGTAGATAGACTGTTCAATGCCTTTCTTTGACCCCAGAGTGTGAACTCCGTGATTTCACGCTCTGTGATGTAATGGTGTCTAGGGCACGGTTGGCACTCAACGAACATAAGTTCAAAGAAAAAAAAAATGCCTTCAAGGAGTTTAACTTTGTTTTGTTAGTTAAAAGAATAGCTTACTTGTCACCAAAGTTTGATCCAGTAAAACAAAACAAAACAAAAACTCTTTTGATTTTCAGCATAGAAAAATTTAGTTTTGTTTGAGAGGAAAAAAAAATCGAAAATTTGCAATTATTCTTACACTAGAGACTACTATAACAGAGATGAGATTGTATCTTGTTGATATAATTTGCAGACCAGTACAAGTATATTAAGTTTGAAATAAATTGCATTCAGTAAATAATTGCAGACCACTTGATTTGACCTTCCTAAAAATCTGGTGTCAGAATCTAGTGGTTTAGATATTAACAGATTCTCTGTTAACATTGAAAAGTTCTGTATAAATTCTGGACTTATAAAAACCATGAAAGGATTTAATAGAGAAGAATTGAACTCACACGAAACATTAAAAACCAATTGAAATTTACTCAGCAGTCAACTTAAGCATAACTGTATATACAGCATATTGGAAAGGACATAGGACATAGAGCAATATTCCTCTGTTAGCCACTTTCAGTCTCTCATACGAGGGAGACTGTGGCTCTGTCTCTCCTGGTGCTCTTCAGATTTTCTTCATTTTTAACCCAAGGGCTGTAATCCACTGACTTCTTTTATGTCCCACACTGATTCATGCCATACCAGGTTCACTTAGAACAATCTCTTAAAAAAAAAAAAAAAACAGTCTTGTTTGCCAATAGTGGAGAGCTCTTAGTCTGTTTGAAAGTGTGCAGAGTTCAGGCTTTAATTACCGAAATGTCCCTACTCTCCCCACCATTGTGTCTACTGGCTGGGTTCCATCTGTGGCTGGAACTTCTAAAGTGAGTTCTCTGAAAAGCGTGGCACTCCCGCCAGCCATGGCCTCTTGTTCAGTTACCTCTTCCTGAAAAGGGCTGGCTGCATTACTCTTTTTTATCCCATGTGACTGCTTCTCACTGGGCAATCGCTGTATCCTGATGTGGCAGTGGGAGAGTTGATTGCCTCTAATTTTGTAAAATTGAGGCCAACCAGGAACGGTCACTGCGTGTCACCATCAAATGTCCCTATGGTTACCCATTCCTGGTGTTTTGCTATAATTGTCTCAGGCTTGCCTACATGTCATCTCTTTTAGAGTGTCCTCTCCCTTTCACATAGCCTTGGGAATGCAAAAGTGCAAACAATTAATCAAAGTACTTTGTTTTTATTACCAATTTTTAATCGCCAAAGAAGGAATTGGACTTCAACCAGGGAAATTATTTACTGACAAAATTTTATTGATAAAATAATTTATCAAAGATTTATGAACAAATTAAAAATCTCTAAAAAAGAAAAATTATACCAACCAAGAGAGTAAAAAGCACATCCATGGGTAAGGAAGGGTTTTTTTTTAAAAATTTTCCATTGGCTACGTTAAGCAACATCATTAATACTGAGGATTTTACTTCTCAAAAAGTAACTAGGATGTAATATTGCAAGTCACAAGAAAGGCTACTGTAAGACAAATGTCATATGGGGGTGGGTGACTCCATCTCCTGCCCAGTCTCATTCACCCCAATACCTGTTCTAACATCTTAATTTGTTTCCCAACTTGGATCTGTCTATTCTTCTTTCTCAGCCACCATGACCTGGAGATCATCCTGTTTCATATGCGTGGTCTGTCATTTCAGCAACAGCTTTCCTTCCTGGCTTGGGCCTGCTCTGTGCTGGATCCTTTGGCTCAGTGCCTCTGACCTTGGGTGGTGGTACTCTGAGTCTCTCTGGCTCCCTTCCCACATCAAGTGGTGACTGTAAACTACAATAGAAGACACTGTTTAAACATGTTTAAGTTTATTTTAGGAATTAAAAACAAAATTTTAATATTATAGTCTTAGGAAAAGATCTGGGTATTTCTCAGTTCACTGAAGTACTGTCTTACATCGGTTACATCAGGAGGAGAGTGTAAATTATTGTCCATCCCATGTAAAAATATTTTGTAAACTGATACCAGCATTGAATGAAAATTTTTTTTTCTATATTCCTTTTTCTTTGCTCTAGGAACTTGAGGAATGGATTACAGTGGAAATTTTCTTTTTTAGGCTTACAACCTTATTTGGGAGCTACTGAGATGCCAGTTCTATCGTATCTTTAGTACAGAATCATCACTACTCACTTGGGAGAACTTTTGTAGAAATTTTATGCTATTCCTAGAGGCCCAGGCATATATGCTCTTAGTTTTGGAGAAGCTGGCGGATTTTAAGAAGAAAGACTTTGCTTTCCTTAAAGGACTGCTGGTATCATTAGCTCCCCTGGCAGTCTACTGAAGCTTCTGCACAGGACTGAAATGGAGTTAAGAGTTTCCAGCCAGGCTGGATAGGACTGTGCCAAACAGACTGAACTCAGCTTAGTTCAGCCAACCCAGAGCCCATACTGAACCATCACAAATGGAAAACCAGGTCAGGGCTTGGCCTTGTGGGTAGATAAGAAAAATTAGTGGCATTCTTTCCTGTTCCACTGGTGCGCGCGCGCGTGTGTGTGTGTGTGTGTGTGTGTGTGTGTGTGTGTGTATTAGAGGGACATATATAATGCTTGTAATCCAGGAGCACATCTTATCATGGGTCTGTTGAACAGACCAGGAGTAGACAAATCAAAATAAGAGTGGCTGGCAAGAGCCAGGTTGGTCTGAGGGATAAACTGCTAAAAGAAGAAACGTGTCACCAAATCCTTGCTTTAAATGAATATCTAGGATTTCTCTTGCTAGCCCAACTATAAGGTGTTAGGCACTCAGCGATACCTTGCATTTTTAAAATTGGGTCACTAACTCCTAAAGACAGTCTCTCTCTATTCTTGGGGGCATGTGCTCAACTGGGATGACTGGTAAGTCCTCTGGCAGCTGGAGCCCAGGTGACTCCTTAAATCTTCACAGTCTGATTAGTTCTCTGGGGCCAAGAATGAGTTTGCTATGATAGGACTTGGGGACAATCTACTATGAAGAAGGCTGGCTGGAGTCCAAGTCTAGTCACTTGGTCCATGAATGGTACAATGTCTGTATGGCAGTATGGCCCCAGCTTTGGTCCTCTTATCATGTCCTTGTCATTCTGTGAGGCCTCAGAATCCCTGTACTGAAGTCAGAGAGCCAAGAGAGCATGCACTTGGTCTTCTTACACGGGGTGAGGGTGGGTAAGTCTCCTTCTGGCAAATTATCCTATTGAATTTGAGAGGGAGAATGAAGGACAGTGGAAGATGGGGTGACTAAAAATGACAGTTTACAAAGTGCTCTCACATACATTTCCACTTGATTCTCACAACAACCCTGTGAGGTAGGTTCAATATATAATGTTTTAAATTTTCATTTTGCAAAGACAGACACCCAAGACCAGAGAGTTTCAGTGATTTGCCCATAAATGTAAGAAGTGCCAGGACCCAAACTCAAAGTCCTGTCTTCTGGCTTCACAGCCTGATTTTTGCCCAGGAGCTACAATGTGAAGGTTACCAGTTTGATGACAAATCGGGGAAGGCGCTTGGAAGTGAACATTTAACTAGTTTAAAAGCCAGGAGGTTTAGAAGTAACACAGAATCCATTGGATCACCACTGGCAGGGGCTCTGCCAGGGACTGTTGCTTGTTGGCTTTAATCTTGTGGGTTGCTTTGGCATATTAGAAGATCATTTGTGAGTCTGCTCAGGCTCCCTGGGTGGTCGAGGAGCAGAGAGGAGGGAATTCCCATGGCCGACATCACACCGCACTCATTAGATGGTTGAATCATTTGACTTGCGCGCCTTGGAATGTAAACCTCTTAGGGCGAGGACTGCGACTTCTTCATTATATTTCCAGAATTTAATACAGTTCTGGGCACATAGTAGGTCTTCAATAAAAATTGGAGTTCACGAGAGATTTGGATGTTCCATGTGATGCTTCCCTATTTTACTGGTAAGCGATTATTTGTAGGGAACAACTATTCAGGTGAATGTGGGAGTGGGCATAGGGAAGACTCAGTTATCTTGGTGGTGGGTAGGATACACAGGCACTGCAGTTCCAGGGTGTAATAACATCATCCAAATGATCTTGTGTACAGTGACAAATCGGCTAGGTGTGGGTTCAAACTGAAGGTTCCACATTAGCCAAGAATCCATGCACTATGTACGTGTTTGGTGAGCACTGGGGGGGGAAGGCAATGTCTCTCGGCATGGAGGGAGGTGGACCATTTTGACAAATATGAAGATAATATTGTTTTAGTAATATAGAGAACTCTGTGACAAAAATCTCCAAAAATGACTAAACACAATCACAGATTCCACAAGCATTGAAAGAGGCCTCTCTTTTTCTGATTAAGTTCTACCAAGGCACATTCTCCTTGGTCCTCCACATTCCCTGGATCCTTAAGCCATCAGAAGCCCCAAGACCCAGACTTTGAGATTGTGGCGAATCTTGAACAGGTAGAAGCTGAGGACAGAACTACCGTGGTGCCAACTTGGACTTCAGTGTGAGTTTTCTGGAACAGGATGCACAGGCCAAAAGTCTGCTGCACAGTATCCCTCTCAGGCTAATGGGCTGGCTAAGGCAAGACCCATGACCTATTTCTGAAAGCAGCAGTCCAGTCCCACTGTACTCTTCTGAGTGAATTGGAACAAGGATTTCTGGGTGTCACCACCTGGTGAGTCCAGCTCCCTTGAGCTGAAGAAGAGTTTTTAATTTAGGAGATCGTGTATCAGCTCACCAGTTGGGGGTACTCAGGATCTAATGGGTCCTGAAGTCAAAGGTGGGAAAGAGCTCAGCAGCTCTGGTGCTTGCGGAGGTTATGGATCATCCAGAGGTCCTCCTCGTTGTGCCGATTGGTGCAAGCCATGGCTAGAGGCTTGGCTTCTCCAGGTATTGCTGCCAAGTTTCAAACATGGCTTTAGGGGCCAAGCATTCCTTCTTTCAGATATTGTCGTTTCATTCTGCAGGGATGAAGCCTGTGAGAAAACAAAGCATAAAGTCACTTCAGGACTGAGTGTGGGCAGCTTTCCATATAAAGCTGTCACTACTTATAAGGTACTCGTTTCACCTTAAATATCCACTGTGAGCCAGGGGGAGCATGGGGCCAGCTGTTTCAGTCTTTCCAATTAGACCTTCGTAGGTTTTTCTGGAGTCCAGACAGCCATCGGAAAGCAGAGCATATTGGCTGCTGGTTCTCTAGAATCTGTCTGAGAGAGGACTTTGGAGTTCATCTAGGTCAGGATTAGATGCCTGAAAGCCTTAGATACCTTTACCTGTTCACATGGAGAGTCCATAGAGTGCTCTCTCATAGTTGGTCTTGATTTAAAGTCACACACAAAATCCTGGAGCCTGTTTTCTTAGATCTTGCCTCTCTGATCTTGATTTTAGTAAATGGTTCAAGCCCCTGAATAAACTTTAAAACACTAATCATAAATATAAATATAAATTATTAAATTTATTATCACTAATTTATTAAAACACTAATAAGTATAAATATAAATCTTACCAACGTTATCAATCAAATTGGATACTGTTAAGTGCATTTTTGACTGCCCATTTATGTTTGCCCTTACTTCAGCTGTTAAGTAACAAAATCATGAAACTTTAGATCGGCAACAGTAATCTTGGGCATGGGTGTAAATTTTAAGTCTGGCCAGCCTCAGATGGGATCAGTGTGGTTCTTACCTGTGTCCTTGTTAGGGGAGTTTGTGCCTAGGTTTCATGCTTATCAAAATCTTTGTTATTGCTATAAAATTTAGAAAAGACTCAGTGTTTCTAATAGTGTTAGTGGACTGAGCACTTACCAGTTAATTGATTTAGGTATCCCGTTAATTTAGCAATGTTAATGATTTGATTGAGCTAAATGTGGAAATCGGCTCTAAAGACCTTAGAGGGTGTCAGCGTTTCCTGGTGAGCTCTGTAATCCCTAATTCCAAAAACTGGATTTTGTCATTAAGTAGATTTAGGAAATACTGAGTAACATCTACCTCTCCTGAAGATTTAAATTATACAATTTTTAAAGTTTCTGAGAAGTCCTGTATTAAGTAATCTTATCTAACTCAATATGTCCCCAGCATTTCCATGTATTTGTTAGCATCTTATAAAACTGGTGCTGCATTGAACAAGTTTTAAGAATTCTGGACTAGCAAGTAATATGGAGAAATACTCATTTAAAAATTTGACATGTTTTCTTTTTTTTTTTAAGAGAGAGAGAGAATTTTTTAATATTTATTTTTTAGTTTTTGGCGGACACAACATCTTTGTTTGTATGTGGTGCTGAGGATGGAACTCGGGCCGCACGCATGCCAGGCCAGTGCGCTGCTGCTTGAGCCACATCCCCAGCCCGACATGTTTTCTTCAGTGAATTTCCCTCTTGGAATGTAAACTTCTTGGGGCGAGGACTGTGACTTATTCATTATATTTTCATAATTTATAAAATAAAACGTGGGACTGGGTTTGTGGCTCAGTGGTAGAGTGCTCGCCTAGCATGTGTGAGGCACTGGGTATGATCCTCAGCACCACATAATAAATAAATAAATAAATAAATAAAATATTGTGTCCACCTACAACTTTAAAAAATTCTAAAAAAAACCTTTATTAGTTAAGTGATTATTAATTATTTATTATTACCGTTGCCAAAGTTAAGCTAGGTACTTTGGGAAATAGGAAATGCACTTGTGTAAGACCTGACTTCTCCCCTTAATAGGCTCATAATCTAGTAATGGAATACTGCTATCATACATAACAATATAAAACATAAGTAAGTTTAATTTAATCTTCCCTTATATCCTCTTTTCAAGTACGAAGCTAAATAATGCAGGCTAGTAGATACAGTAGTTGCAGAGAGGAAGAGCAAATGCTGGAAAAATGAAAAGTCAAATCATGGGTGAGGTAGGACTGTTTTTTGTGGGGTGGTTAGAATTTTGAAAAGTTTGAGTGAATTTTTAACTGAGGACAACAATATACACAGTTTTCCAGCCCTATGTCTCCTAGGAGCAGGAAGTCAGGTGACAAACAGCATTTTGGTATATTGCAATCATTTAATACTGATATATCTTTTGAGAACTTCAAAGCCAAAATCAGAATGTTACAGAAATATGATTCTCTTTTGTTTGTCCTATACTTCTACTAGAGTTTTTCCTACTTGGTGCATTATAATGAGTTGTGTTTCTTTATCTGTTGTCTGTGATAGCCTTGTTGATGGCAAGGAAAATATTTTATTTCTTTTCACATCCTTGGAAACTAGTATCTTTGCATCCATAGCATCTAGACCATCATAGTCCCTCAATAAATATTATTATTGATTATGTGACAATCAATGAAAAATAATATAAAGAAGAAAATTGTGTACACCAAAGTGGATTTTACATCAGGAAAGAATGCATGGATTGGGCAAAATTAGAATGTGTAGGCTCTTTAAACCAGATTGAAGAGTAGGAAAGAGGAAATCAGTGAAGATTTTTGAAAGCTTTAAAAAGAACTGCTGAAAGTCCTTATTATGAAAAAATCAAGCTGGCAGTGATGTGCACAGGTTGACTTAAAGTAAAGCTGGGTCAGGGATCAGTTGAAAGTATTATAGATCTCATTGCAAGGAGACAAGGTTCTAGAACCAAGTTTGTGGCACTAAGAATGCCAGGTGGATTGGAATCTACATCTGGTTGATTATAAATGATCAGGGAGAAGTATGCGTTGAGGATTATTTTAAGTTTAATGATAATAGCTAAAATTCATTGAATGAGTATTACAAGTTGCATCCCATTCTTTGCTTTAGTTTCTCATTTAATCTCATTTATTCTCCACAATTCTAGGGATGGTCATGATTATCAGCTCCATTTCACTGATAAGGAAGTAGGCTAGAGGTTCAGAAATGTGCTGCAAGTCTCACCCATAGGAAGCTGTAGTCAGGATTGGAACTAACTTGATCCAAATTCAGAGACTGTGTTCTTAATCACAGTTAGCCCTAGAGACAGAGTTGTAGGTTTGTTCTTTTGATAGATAGAAACATTAGAGGAAGAGTTGGTTTTGGATATCTGAATTCCAAGAGAATGAAATAACTCATTGGAAAGATGAGCATCATTTCTCCAATGGATGGGAGTCTGGTGTAGGAAATGATTAGCTTTTCCAAAAGTCCAGTGATGTGTTACTTAAAATTATAGCCACACCAGTGTCTGTTAAGTTAGCACTTGGTGGGAAGCCAGGAAATGCCTATTGAGAGCACACCCCTGACCAGGGTCCAGGTGGTCACCCAGAGCAAGATGCTGCCTGCTGAGATCATCAGAACACTCCAGAGCACCTTGGTAGAGGAGACTGACCTTGGGCTTGCAAGCCTGCAAAGTGAACCATGGGGCCTTCTGATTTCTTCAGATCACACAAAGGCTGTGATGTGTTTTTCTCTTTCTCCCTGACTCACTGAGGACAGAGGAGCTGGGGAGGCCTGAAAACAACACACCCACCTGTGCAAATTGGATGCACTGTAATGGCTGTTTTGGTTTTTAACCTTTAAAAAAAGACTTTGTCTATGTTTCCCACTGTTGCATTCACACTTTGCAGTAGTTAATGCTAATCAGAAAAAAGCATTTAATAAATAAATAAAAACACAACCAAATAAAAGCATACAATGAATCTGAATGTCATATTTAAAAAAAGAACTAGCTTTGAAGGAAAAGAAAACCTGGACCAGGACTGTCAGCATTCAGAATAATTACACATGCTTGAATTTTCTTCATCACTCCTCTCTCTCTCTCTCTCTCCCTCCCTCTCTCTCTCTCAAGGCAGGTTTTGGGATAATACATTGTAGAAATAATAGTGAAAAGATATAATTTTATTTTTTCCATTATTGATATGCCATGGTATATCAGAGGTGAATATGTTTTCCTCCAAATTGAAATTATTTAAAATTGTTATTTTCTGCTTAAGAAAATGGAAGAAAACAAAAATAGAGGGAAAGCCTATAAATGTGCTTAAAGATCACTATAGTTTCTCAACACTGCAAAACCCTCTGCACCTAAGCAGGACCTGGGATTCCACCTTTCACTGCAGTCGCTGGCTGAATAGAGCACTTTGTTCGGCAAGGCCAGGGGAGCAGTGCTTGGCACAGTCTACCAAGAAAAGCTGACATGCTCCCAGACATGTACTGATGACCTTTCACATAATTCCTTTTCAAAAGTTTAATTTTTATATTGAATGCCAGTTAACAAAAGTAACATGAAACTAATGAATGCATACCAGTAATCTCAAGAGGTAAAAACAATACAATTACAGTAAAGCAAAAAGGTGAAAGTCTGAGGTAAGCGAATATGAAAATAAACCAGGTATGATGACGGCACATGCCTGTAATCTTAGTGATCACGGAGGCTGAAATAGGAGGGTTGCAAGCTTTAGGCCAGCCTTTGCAACTTAGTGAGACCCTCTGCAACTTAGCAAAATGCTGTCTTGAAATAAAAAATTAAAAAAAAAATAAAATAAAAAGGACTGTGAATCTAGCTCAGTTTTAAAGTGCCTGTGGTTTTAATCCCTAGTACTACAAAACAAAACAAAACACAACAAAACAAAACAAAACTAAGCTTAAAAAAACACAGTGTTTGTGTATAATGCATTTTATAAGCATTTTATGTAATGCATATATATATACTATATATTGTATATAATGCTTTATATAAAGTACATATAATACTATATACACATACTACTATTAATTTGTTTTGTTAGGAAATCAATATTAGCACATTAGATTACAACTTCTTATGCACTGGAAAAAAACTTTAACCTACTTTTTTATGATAATCATTCCCGATAACAAAAACTTGCGCTGAAGTTCTAAATGTTCCTTTATATAATGTTTCTAAGTCTAACAAGAAAAATCTATTTTATAGCTTTTTTCTTTCTCTCTTCAAGTTCATCTCTTCCCCTTCATCACTATTTTACTTACCTCCAAACAACAATTTAAAGGCAAATCCGATGCAGGACTATATTAGGG